GATAGAGACACAGGAAAGAGACAGAGATAGATAGGGTAGATAGGGAGACGGAGATCGTGAAAGTGCATTTTGAGAGACAACGAAACAAAGGACGAGACGAAATGGAAAGAGGAACAAAGAAAGAAATACAACGAAAATGGAGAAACGCGGGAAAATAGATTTAGAGAAGAGAGGAGCAGCCACCGCCCATAAAATCGAATGCAAAAGGCAATAGAGCCACACACAGAAAATCGATTTTGGAAACTTGCACCACGGCACTAGTGTTGCGGATGCTATGACGTCAACCGAGTCGCACATCAATAACTCCTCCATGGCGTTCATGGACGCGTTCGCACAGTGAAATCCGGGTGAATCCTGACATCTTCCGCGAACGTGCCGGTGGATTATTCATATACGTCATTCCCAGACGAGATGTATAAAAAATAAAAGCATTGGACAAGAAAACGCACCGAATTACGTCATGCGCAGGTCTAACGCGCAATTATAGACGGAAGAGACGTAGAAAACAGCTGGGTTAGGGCGTCGCAGCGTCAGCGTCGCCACAACCCTCGCTTTCACTTCGGCGTATTTCGCTTTCGGCTTAATTCTTGGCTTAGGAGTGTCCCGTAGCTACGCAGGTCCGCTCAATGGCGTACTAATTCAGATGCATGAGAGGGCCGAATTCCATGCCAAGATCATTGAACTGAGGTCGGTTTTTTTTTCTTTCTTTTAATCCGGGTGTTAGTATAGCCATATTTACATTCCCTGCTCTTCTCTCTCTTTCTCCTTCATTGCTACTGTCGGTCTGATTATCTGTCTTTTTCCCCACATTCTCTCTTCCTATCTCTTCCCTTCCTTTTTTTCCTTCTTCACTCTCTCTTTGTCTCTCTCTCCTCCCTCTTCCCATTTCCCATCCGTTTTCCCTTTTTATACACATCCCGTCCCATTGTGCAGCGTTTTTGCCTCTCTGTGTCCTGTTGTGTGTCAGGAGCTGTGGCACCGCCGGCTACAGAGGCTGGCATTCCCAGTGACCAGGAGTGCCACGTCTGTGTGTGTTATTGGGTTTTTGTTTTCCTCTCCTTCTATGTTGATTTCCCTTATATATATATATATATATATATATATATATATATATATATATATATTATATATATATATATATATTATACGTTGCTCTGGATGTCTTCTTTCCTGTTCTTAATTACTTATGAACATCCCTCTTCATTGCAATCTTTATCGTGGTCGCAACTGCTATAACCATCACTCTTATCATTGTTCATATCGGAATACTGGCTAAATAATTCCTTTAGGATATAACACCCTCACATAGAACAAAATAACAAGAACAAGAAACAACTACACGCATCCTCTTTTCTTATGCCTGGCTTCTTCCGTGGTCAATCCTTACAAGAAAATCCTTGCCGGGTATGTGTTTACTTCCTAGACCTAATAAACCGTAATCTTTCTTTTTTTTTAATCCCCCAAAGATACCTTGCAGCCTTACAAGTCTTCCTACATTTAATCTTCGAAAAGTAACAACGAATGAGATTCTATCTGGGTATGGAATCCTAAAAATCGTTTCAGGCAGGTTAAAAGGAAATGCTCGTAGTCCAAAGTTGCTGCCCTGAACGGCCTGCCATATACCTTCCCTTCCTTTCCCTCCCTTCCACCAACCTTCCCTTAACCCCCCCCCACTACGCCCGCCCCCCATCCCGACTCGCCAAACGGACGCTTCTGTCTGCCAGAACCTGAATTCACGGGGGAACATCTCCCGGCCTGAACGAATTTACTTTGTTTTTTCATTATTCTTCGTAACGCTTTATTCTTTATTGTATTTTTCTTATTTGTTCTGGTAAAATTAAGTTGTGCTATTTATAGACGCGAAGGAACAAGCACTACAATTCGTTCAAAGTACTTAGAATGTCGTAAAATTAAGAAAGAAATACGTATGCATTTTCTATCCCGCCAAACGCGTCGGGTATGTACAGACAACTGTGTTGGGGTAACATGCGTATGCGCTAATGTTTTCGAACATAAGTATACGTTTGTCATTTGTATATATGAAGCTTCAAATGATTAATACTTGCCAAAGAAGAAACTAATTAAATAATAAAACAATGGGTTTAATAATACACGCTACTAAACACGTTTATGCTTGCGTGTTTTCATAAATTGGTAACTTGCTTAATATTCGTTATTGATCCATAAATAAGATGAAGTTAACCTACTGCCAGACGAAAAACTCTCCTTCTTTTTATAACACGGGGCGTCTCCTCGACCCACATAGTCTCCAGCAGCTTCCACATGCTGGTCGACGCAAAATGGTGCTCGGGAGGCAAGAATGCTTGAGAAAATCGAAAAGAGATCCGCGCTTTTATTTTTTTTTTTTTTGTCTTCTTTCGTTATTCGTTCGTTATCTGTTTTTCGGTGTTTGTTTTCTGTTTTCTTTCTGTTCTGTGTTTGGTTCTTCCTCTTTCTTTGTCTTTGTCTGCCTCTCTCTATTTTTCTTTGTCTGTTTCCCTCCATCATCTCTATCCTCCTTTCTCTCTCTCTCGTCTTCTTCTCTCTCCTCTCTCTCTCTCTTCTCTCTCTCTCTCTCTCTCTCTCTCTCTCTCTCTCTCACACACACACACACACACACACCACACAACACACACACACACACACACACACACACACACAAACAACACACACACAACACACACACACACACACACACACACACACAACACACACACACACACACACACACACACACAAACACACACACACACACACAAACACACACAACACAACAAACAACACACACAACACAACACACACACACACACACACACACACACACACACACACACACACACACACAACACACAACACAACACACACACACACACACCGAAAAAACTGCTGTTCTAGCGCAGTGCAGCAGCGGGAACACACTATGCAACATTAATGCATTGCAGCGCGTGTCAGCCATCTGTTCCCGATATACCTGTTGAGAACTGTCATTTGTCACGAATAACTGCGATTTCAGGCGAGAGTCCAAATCAAATGGCTTTCTGTTCATCATCGCAATTCTGTTCTTCCTTTCTTTCTGGGGTTCGCTGGTTCTGCTCACGGTATCAGTGTGGAGTGTTCTTTTTCATGAATGTTGACACTGACACTGTGAAATGACCATTCAAACAGCAGGAAAATGTGTATGATTTCGAAATAATTGGGTTCCTCACACCCCCCCTTTCTCTTCCTTTCTTCTCCATTTTTCGTGTGTGTTTTTTTTTTCTTTCTTTTTTTAGCTCCTTTCCCACTCTGTCCTAGTTCCCCTTTTCTTCTCTTTCTCTCTGTCTTCTCCCCTACCTCTCCCTCTCCCATTCTCCTCCCTTCGACCCAACCGATGAGGGTCGTGGGGAACGGTGGACGGGGAAGGGGGGGGAGAGGTCGATGTGGGATTTTGGCGTCTCTCTCTCTCTCTCTCTCTCTCTCTCTCTCTCTCTCTCTCTCTCTTACCCCTCTTCTCTTTTACCCCCCCCCTCTCTCTCTTTTACCCCTCTCTCTCTCTCTTTCTCTCTCTCTTCTTACCCCCCCCCTCTCTCTCTCTCTCTCTCGTCTCTCTCCATCTCTACTCCTCTTCTCTCTATCTCTCTTCTCTCTCTCCTCTCTCTCTCTCTTCTCTCTCTTTCTCTTTCTGTGTGTGTGTCCCCAACCACGTCATTGGCGTATTGCGTCGGAGATTCTTGAAGAAAGTACATATATTTTAACAATACACCGCTTTTTCCTTCTCTTGAGAATCAAACATTACAAGGCATTTTACTAACACTTAATGGTTTAAATGATCTGTTAATAATAATGATAATAAACAATGATACCTTCTTCAGTTGTTATATTTAACCTTATCCACGAACTAAATAAAAATTCCGAATTATTTTGGTCATATAAGCCATCTATATTTTTCAGTCTATATTTCAATGGCTTTTCCTCCACTCACAATGCTTCTGAATATATGTGTTTGGAATGCCTGCAATACGTAACCATGGCAACGCTAATCATGCGATTAAAAGGGGAATTGGTTGCCATCAGGAAGTAATAACAATGGTAGACGCAATGGATAATTGATAGATTATTATAACTAATGATGATGATGATAATTGTATCAGCAATGCTATGATAAAAATAACCATGATAATAATGATGATCATAATAATAACATTGGTGATAATAATGATGATAGAGATGAAAATGAGAACAATAATAATAATAAAACCACAACAATAATAATAGTAGTAGTGGTAGTTGTAATAATAATAATATTAATAATAATAATAATAATAATAATAATAATAATAATAATAATAATAATAATAATAATAATAATAACGATATTAATAGTATGAACAAAAATATAATTATAACAATAATAGCAATATAAATAATCATCTAAATAATAACAACAATAATAGGAAGAATAACAGAATTAATGATAATAATAATTCCAATAATAAATTTAAAGATAACAATACAAGTTGTAACAATTACAACAATAGTAGTAATAACATTTAATTATAGTTACTAAATATAAAGTGCATTACATGTAGTTACTGTGTGAACTCTGAAAACAACGTAAAATATGTGCGATTTAGAATGTGGTTTATACTCTTCACTGGTTATTCTTGTTTTCACTTTACTTTACTCATTTATCAGGTGATTGGGCCTGAAAAAACGTATTGATATCAAGCCAAGTGATAACAGGGATACGTTATATGATGCAACGTACAGGGAAAGCCTATGGGTGTTCTCAGGCCTTCTCGAAAACATGGCTTCTCGCGCAATCAGCTGGGGGAGAGAATGCGTTTTTTATTTCTGTCAGTCTATTTATTTCTGTACTATTATCGGTTCGTGTGGTATATCTATAGATTCCTCATTTTATATAGAATATGTGGCTATGTATTATAAGGGATAAACTCCTTTGTTGGACTAGTTAATTTCGAAAAACACGTTATCTGAATCATCGTACAAAGGCAGCGAACCCAATGCGCATGCGTGGACGAGGTCACGTGACCCAAGAGTATATAAAAGCCATTGTCGAAAATTTGGAGTTAGTTCCCAGCGAGTGATATTGTGATCAGTTACTATTGCGCTACTATAACCGGTAAATATTAGACTTTTTATCTGCACGTACAGTTTTATAGTATTTTGTGTCGCATATAAGAGGTGAATATCGTTTACTTAGCTTTCAGAATAATCTAAATATTAAACTGGACAGTATTAGCATGTAAAAGTATTACGGTAGCGTCACAGCCCGACTTCCTGTTCTGACGTGGCGTCTGAACCCGATCAGAACAAAGAAAGGTTTCGTGAAGTACAAGTTTTAGGCCCGGCTCTTCATACTATATTTCCTAAATATCTTGCTGCTGTAGTTTTGTACAAGTGTTTGTGTTTGCAGGAATTTTCAAAGAGAAAAGTGCTAGTGAAGTAACGCTTATTTATATTCGTATGTACTAAGTATTGTTTATATGTAATCGTTGGTTTTGTGACTTGCACAATTGGAAGGTTTGTGAATTGATGGGGTTGAAAAGAACACATTCGTTTTGTTTTAGAAATGCCAAACTTTGCCATTGCGATACAGCCAGTAACACGGTTTCTTCGAGTTAGACCCTTCCCTGTTCATTTAACTTTATTCCTGCACTTAATGCAGGAGCCTAGCATTTTGTGTTTGTAGTGTTGATAGTTTATTCAGAACCAGAAGAACTGTGGTTTGTCTGAGCCTATTATAATGTGGGTAACAGCCACGTTTAGAATTTAGGTGGATGAAATTGGTTGTATGGTTTGGAGTGGTGCTACTGTGGCAAATGCATATATAGTCTGTCATGCAGGAACAGTGTTAAGTGGATCTAGTGTGACCTGTTCATTCCCATGTCCTAAATCCACATTTTTGTAGTTCAGATCAATATATTTTTTACTTGAATACGAAATTAATGTTAACTTATTTTTTGATGAATTTGTTGTATGAGAAATCATTGTTTTATATTAGAATTTTAATGTGCAATTTTCTTTTGCAGCATCAAGATGCAGATCTTTGTGAAAACTCTCACAGGCAAGACCATCACACTTGAGGTTGAGCCCTCAGATACCATTGAAAATGTAAAGGCCAAGATCCAGGACAAGGAGGGCATTCCCCCAGATCAGCAGAGGTTGATCTTCGCAGGCAAGCAGCTTGAGGACGGACGCACTTTGTCCGACTACAACATCCAGAAGGAGTCTACTCTCCACTTGGTACTCAGACTGCGAGGTGGTATGCAGATCTTCGTCAAAACCCTCACAGGCAAGACCATCACTCTGGAGGGTGAACCTTCAGACACCATTGAGAACGTAAAAGCCAAAATCCAGGACAAAGAAGGTATTCCCCCAGATAAACAGCGACTTATTTTTGCTGGTAAACAACTAGAAGATGGTCGCACCCTGTCCGATTACAACATCCAGAAGGAATCCACCCTCCACCTTGTCCTCAGACTGCGAGGAGGTATGCAGATCTTCGTCAAAACACTTACAGGCAAGACCATCACACTGGAGGTCGAACCCTCTGACACAATTGAAAATGTAAAGGCCAAGATCCAAGACAAGGAAGGTATTCCTCCAGATCAACAGCGTCTTATCTTTGCCGGTAAGCAGTTGGAGGATGGTCGCACTCTTTCAGACTACAACATCCAGAAGGAATCCACCCTCCACCTTGTCCTCAGACTGCGAGGAGGTATGCAGATCTTTGTGAAAACCCTTACAGGTAAGACCATCACTTTAGAAGTTGAACCTTCAGACACCATTGAGAACGTAAAAGCCAAAATCCAGGACAAAGAAGGTATTCCCCCAGATCAACAGCGTCTTATTTTTGCTGGCAAGCAGCTAGAAGATGGTCGCACCCTGTCCGATTACAACATCCAGAAGGAATCTACCCTTCACCTTGTCCTCAGACTGCGAGGAGGTATGCAGATCTTTGTGAAAACCCTTACAGGTAAGACCATCACTTTAGAAGTTGAACCTTCAGACACCATTGAGAACGTAAAAGCCAAAATCCAGGACAAAGAAGGTATTCCCCCAGATCAACAGCGTCTTATTTTTGCTGGTAAACAACTAGAAGATGGTCGCACCCTGTCCGATTACAACATCCAGAAGGAATCTACCCTTCACTTGGTTCTCAGACTTCGAGGTGGTATGCAGATCTTCGTTAAGACCCTCACAGGCAAGACCATCACCCTGGAGGTTGAACCCTCTGACACCATTGAGAATGTGAAAGCCAAAATTCAGGATAAGGAAGGTATTCCCCCAGATCAACAGCGTCTTATTTTTGCTGGTAAACAACTAGAAGATGGTCGCACCCTGTCCGATTACAACATCCAGAAGGAGTCTACCCTTCACTTGGTTCTCAGACTTCGAGGTGGTATGCAGATCTTCGTTAAGACCCTCACAGGCAAGACCATCACCCTGGAGGTTGAACCTTCTGATACCATTGAAAATGTAAAGGCCAAGATCCAGGACAAGGAAGGCATTCCCCCAGACCAACAGCGTCTCATCTTTGCTGGTAAGCAGCTGGAAGATGGCCGCACCCTCTCTGACTACAACATCCAGAAGGAATCCACCCTTCATTTGGTTCTCAGACTTCGAGGTGGAATGCAGATCTTCGTCAAAACCCTCACAGGCAAGACCATCACTCTGGAGGTTGAACCTTCAGACACCATTGAAAATGTAAAGGCCAAGATCCAGGACAAGGAAGGCATTCCCCCAGACCAACAGCGTCTTATTTTCGCTGGAAAGCAACTAGAAGATGGCCGCACTCTCTCTGATTACAACATCCAGAAGGAATCCACCCTTCACTTGGTTCTCAGACTTCGAGGTGGTATGCAGATCTTCGTCAAAACCCTCACAGGCAAGACCATCACTCTGGAGGTCGAGCCCTCAGACACCATTGAGAATGTGAAGGCCAAGATCCAAGACAAGGAAGGCATTCCCCCAGACCAACAGCGTCTCATCTTTGCTGGCAAGCAGTTGGAAGATGGCCGTACCTTGTCCGATTACAACATCCAGAAAGAATCCACCCTCCATCTTGTGCTCAGACTTCGTGGCGGTATGCAGATCTTTGTGAAGACCCTCACTGGCAAGACCATCACCCTGGAGGTTGAACCCTCTGACACCATTGAGAATGTGAAAGCCAAAATTCAGGATAAGGAAGGTATTCCCCCAGATCAACAGCGTCTTATTTTCGCTGGAAAGCAGCTAGAAGATGGTCGTACCTTGTCCGATTACAACATCCAGAAGGAATCCACCCTCCATCTTGTGCTCAGACTTCGTGGTGGTATGCAGATCTTCGTTAAGACCCTCACAGGCAAGACCATCACCCTGGAGGTTGAACCCTCTGACACCATTGAGAATGTGAAGGCTAAGATCCAGGACAAAGAAGGCATTCCCCCAGATCAACAGCGTCTTATCTTTGCTGGCAAGCAGTTGGAAGATGGCCGCACCTTGTCTGACTACAACATTCAGAAGGAATCTACTCTTCACCTTGTCCTCAGATTGCGAGGTGGTATGCAGATCTTTGTGAAGACCCTCACAGGCAAGACCATCACCCTGGAGGTTGAACCCTCTGACACCATTGAGAATGTGAAGGCCAAAATCCAGGACAAGGAAGGTATTCCCCCAGACCAACAGCGTCTTATCTTTGCTGGCAAGCAGTTGGAAGATGGCCGCACCTTGTCTGACTACAACATTCAGAAGGAATCTACTCTTCACCTTGTCCTCAGATTGCGAGGTGGTATGCAGATCTTCGTTAAGACCCTCACAGGCAAGACCATTACCCTGGAGGTTGAGCCCTCAGATACTATTGAGAATGTGAAGGCCAAAATCCAGGACAAGGAAGGTATTCCCCCAGACCAGCAGAGGTTGATCTTCGCAGGCAAGCAGCTTGAGGATGGACGTACTCTCTCTGACTACAACATTCAGAAAGAATCTACTCTCCACTTGGTCCTCAGACTCAGGGGTGGCCAGTGAATATTCCATTGTGATCAGTTTCCAAAGATTTCCTGTCAACTACGCTTATTGCAAAAAAATGTAATTGCACATTATTCCTTTCCAGTGTATGTGGAAATTATATGAACATGATTTTATTTCAAATGCACATCAATATTATTTTTTACTTTTTATAATGTGCTAGCAGAACCAAATAAAAACTTTATTTGATAT